AATAATTAACCAAATCTATTGGGGCGTATGAATATTCTACACGAAAAAAGCAAAATCAGAAAAAAACAGCAACAACAACAATAATGATGGAAAAGTCAATGGAAGAAGAAAAACAAAGACAGTAGAAAAAAGCCGGAATAAAGCAAAAACGGTGCAAAACCGTGAAAAAAACATATCATGCATTGAAACGATTGAGATGTGAATGTGTCGAAGTAACGTCAAATTAAATTACGTGAATCGAGCAAAAAAGGCAATAAAACTACTACAACGAAAGCCGTCACGACCAATTGGATCGATTGTACATGTGTATAGCGTATATGATAGTGCACCAATAAGCAGAAGCATATACCGCAGTTGTGCCCAAATGCAACCATCATTAAGCATCCAAAAATGTACACCGACGAATGATGAAACCTTGCAGCCAATAAACAAATGAACAGCATTAATAATTATGATTTTGATCGTTGCTACGTTTATTTTTAGGTTTTGGTTTCGGTTTCGATTTCATACCCATGTCACTCAGTCTGCGGTCGAAGCAGTTATCCATTATTATTATTATTATTATGATACACTATGTGTACATTTCGGACAGTAATTCATTTAATAATGTTGATCCAGTTTTCGTTTCGTCTCGACTTAATTGAACTACATCGAAGCACTTACCATTTTGGTGTGCGCACTGCGCACACAAACGCAATGATTGACCGAATAGGTTATCGTTTTGTATAAAATATTGTGGTAGAAAAAAAAGTGTTACAGCATTCATTGCACCATAAAAGTGGATGAATTCGCACACTTTCAGCAATAAATTGGTTTTTATTTTGCTTCATTCGGTACAAAAATCTTGACAAGCAACAAAAATTTGCTGGGAATCAAACAAATGGATTCGTTCTTGCAATTGTATTTTCTATATTTTTTCCGTACAATATTCACATTTGGTTCTGAAAATGTTTTGCCATTGGTGAACCATTACACATACTCTTTTTTTCTCTCGTTATGTTGAAATCTTGACTGACAATTGATTTAGGGCCAGATTAAATACATAGATATTATTAAAAGTGCTCTTTAAATTCCAAGTAATTGTTTCACATGTTTTAAACAGTCTGTCTTTGCATAACTCTTAGTTCAATGAGTCTTTTGTTGCGGCTACTGCGGATCGATTGACCAATTGCAATGGTTGGTGTTAAAACCGTATTCAAGTATCGATTATACCATTCATGAATGTAATCATTTTAATTCTTCACAGAGAATCTTTATTTGTATTATTTTCGTTAATTTCTCAACCACATCCATAACACTAAATGTCTTCCATCAAAATGTGTATTTTTTTTGACATGATTTGATTTTAATAGATTAAGGTAAAAGACGTGACCAGTGCATAAATATATATCCAATGACGAAATTGTTCTTTTTTTTAAAATCTTCTTTGTGTTGAATACAAAAAAAGTAATTTATGCTTGATTCATTGGACGAAGAAATTTGTGGAAAAAAAAGCGTTAAAAAGAATTGGTTGCCCAATCCACTAGCTAAACACATTCACATAAATTGAATATATCAAAGCAGACTTGTGGTGACTTTGGAACCAACAAATCTTCACTTAGTTTGTATTCACTTCACAGACGCGTGCACCTCGTTGTCAAAACGTTGTACTTTATTCATTTGAAGTACCATGAATATTCAATAAATGACCATTAATTGTTTTCGTCACTAGGAAGGTGCCCAGTTGTGTTAACTCTACTGTTTATTTATACCGTACATTGTCAACCTGAACAATTCGAAAAAATAAACAAATGATAAAAGGCAAGAAAAAAAAACAAACTCTTTGAAAATAACTTTAAAACGAAACACCGAAAATAATATTGCCTATTATACAAAAAGCATTCTATCAAACTCTACGTATATGTATAAGCCAACGTTTCTCTTGACATATGTTGAATTTTTTTTTCTTCGTCGTCTACCTCCCTTTCTACATACTATTTTCATTTTTGTATTCTACAATTTCATAAGATTCAGATGTTTTTTTTTTTCTTCATTCAAACGGTCGATGTCAAATGAAGCACATTTTATGAGGTCTTTGATACTTACAATGAAATTACTTTCTAAATACACTAAACTAAGTCAGAAATTTTCATAAAAGAGTGGCTGATTTTGGAAAGTAGAACAAAACGCTGTTGCTCGTAAATGGTAACATGTAAACAAAATTACATATTTTCACAGTCAATGACAGATAGCTGGGGATATATGCTGAGCATAGAAACTCAGTAAGCTGAGATTGGGACATTTTGACTTTATGACGTGTAGTCCATATAAATGCATGATGAAATGCACGAAATTGTATGCGTACCATCATAAATTTGTATGGACTACACGTCATAAAGTCAAAATGTCCCAATCTCAGCTTACTGAGTTTCTATGCTCAGCATATATCCTCAGCTATCTGTCATTGACTGTATTTTCAACGTCGAAATAAGTAGAATGAAATTTCATTTCAACAAGTTGAGAAAATTACTTTCATAAATTAAACAAATGAAGATTGATTCACGAATAAACCAAAGTTGTCGTTAACATTCGTTCATTTTTTGGTATAAATTCCACTTTATAAAAAAAAAACAATTTAAAACAGTTTGTATAATTTGTTTAAATTAATGTAACAACTCAATTACAAGCGACACATTTAATTATTCTAATTCTTATTCAGGAAATTATTTATATGTTATTAGCTGCCAACAACAGGCAGATATCTTTGAAGTAGAGGTTTTACGAAACGTTTCTAATGTATGATGGATACTTCATTCGATGGAAATAAAGTTGGTGTCACAATTTGACCCATTTCTAAGCAAAACCTCGATTCAATTTCGAAATATTGGTGTGTGTGTGTGTGTCGTAAATATCAAAATCGTAATTTATGGTGATTTAGTTTGAGCTATAGAGACAATGCATTGCCCTAAAATGGACGTAAAGCGTCGGATCCGTTTCACTACGACACTCCAGCTGAGAGATCAATTGAGTCTTTTGAAGCAGTCAGAAAAAAAAACGAAAAAACTAAAGTAAAGCATTTAATTGAATTTCATTTGAAGAGTTACTCTCGCGTCTGTTCAGTCCATTGTTGTCAGATGTGGTGTCATTAACAGAGTAAAATTGCGAAGATGATCGTGTCACACGATGCCATTCAATTCATTTTAATTTTAATTTCTAACTGTAGACAAGAAAGAAAAAGAAAAAGTCGCACCGAAAAGTGAAAGAAGAAAAGAAAATTGTGACAAATTATACAATGGCAAAAAGTTCAAAGAAACATTCGTTCGTTCGTGCAAATGCAAAATGTTGAAGGAAAGTCCGTCATAACTTTTGCATTGAAATAAACTTATCAAGTATCAGCACTACCGTGTTGTTCACATCACAGTCGGTGATGGAATGCCAATATGAACGGCAACATTGTGAGCAAACATATGCCACTTTAAATATCGGTATCGATGTGCACATAAATAAGAACCGTTCACCACGTTGAATTCCTCTATATGTTTTTGGTCAGCGAACGCCGCATTAAAAAACATATCCACAACACCGCAATCTAATGCGGATGACGTACGCGCTTTGATCAGTTGATCGTAACCGTTCAATTCGAATCAATATAGTCTATATGAACGTGCGCTATACCACACGACACCTTATTAAGCGTAGCTGTTTCCAACTAGCTATGGCTAAGCGACAATTCAACAACTTGGTATGGCATATGCACGTTAATATGTGCGAAGAAGTGTGCAATGGCATATAACAGCAGCTCCTCCGAGTCAGTCAAACGTCGAATGTGCTCGAACGGTGTTTTATAGAGGAGCTTGTTGTATCGTTAATCAAAGGCCGTTCCAAGACGAACGTGTAACGCTCGACCGTACGCGCTCCCATACGCGCGCGTTGCACGTCAGATGAAAGAAAGAAAGAAAGAAAGATAAAAAGATGAAATAACACTATGACCGTGTATACGAAACGATCTCCCTCACATGTAACACAATACAGAAAAAAAACGACAACAACAGCACAAGGTAAAAGAGATCGACGTGTCTGCGCGGTAGCTTTTGCATTTTTCAAAAAAGAAAACGGTATTCAGTCGTGTTATGGTATTGTCGGTTGCTGCATCAGAGTACGATACAATTGAACGTGTGCATCTCAATTTTGTTTTTCAGTGGTAAATATTGCATTGAGCACGTTTTTTCTCTCTGCAAATTTTTTATGGATCGAAACAGTGCCTATCTTCGAAATCACCGTGATTCTTACAAGCAATTTTGTGTCATTTTTACATTGGAAATAAACGAATGTTGTGGACAAGAACAGTTCCAAATGGATGTTAAATGTGGACACCACTGAATGGGAAACAAATAAACGCACGTGATATACAGCTGGATCCACTGAAATGTTCATACTTGCACTTTAGTAAAAGTAATTGATAGGAATGGTTCAAATGGACAATCGTGCAAATTTTTGATTTATTACGACATTTCGATCTACCGTTCGCTTCAATAAATTTTCGTGCTCACAGTGAATTGGTTCTGATTCTGTTTTTTAACGTTTATGATTGTAGTGTTTGTTTGTTTGTTTTTTCATCTCTCTCTCATTTGTGCAAGTGAAACACGTTCTTTTATAATTGATCCACTCAGTTTTGTCCAGTTTTTACGTGTTTTTAGTGAAAGTTGAACGGAGTTGTTTCCATATCAAACATTTCCATTCTATCCATGTGCAAAAGTGTTCATTTGGCCGATTAAGTTTTTGTGGTAGCGTTTCACGTTTAGTATTTCATGACAAAGACACCATAGACAAATAAAACTTGAAATGCATAATAAGACCAATCCAATTTAATCAAAACTGTGAAGTGATAATTTATAAACTAATTTCGTAGAAAAAGAAATATTTAAATAAATATTCAAACAGCGGAAAATAATTGAAAATTGAAAACATTTTCCAGCTGATGATTTTGAACTGTTGTTCTTGATTTGTTTGATCGATCAGATTAAATCGACTTCAAGCCTATGAAGTGAATTTGCATACAAATCATGAATCATTTTCTATTTCTTAATTGCTTTGTGCTTTGCATGAGTTTTCTATTCGTTGTGCTCAAGCGCTTTCGATAAATGATGCGAAGCGAGGAGAAAAAACTTGTACAAATTAATATCTGGACCCTGCTCTAATTCAGATTCATATTGAATTCAAGAGTAAACAATGAAAAAAACCAATATTAAAAAAATACAATAAGTTCACATCAACTTTGAAATGTTTTAAAATAGTGAATTTTTGAGCACGTGTGAGACCCATTTTTTGACATCCGTATCATCAAAATCGCACTTTGTTACGTTAAATTATTTTCGTTGGTTAATGATCGGATTTCGATGTGAAATTTATTTTTTATTAAAATAAATCAGTGAAATTGGTTTCATTGATCGCTTTGAAAAGAAAAAACGAACACACAATTTCCTCTACTCGATAAGAGAACTTCAAAGCGAATCGCGATATTACATTATATCTCAATTAGTGGTTGGACCATTTTGTTTCGCCAGAAATTATAATTTCACTCGAAATTGGTGTAATTTTCCCTGAAACAATTTTAACAAGTTCGACTTTTCTCCTTATTTGCTACGCAGAGTCACACCGACAAACATACGGCATCAAATGCGAAAGTTAACTAATTCCATTTCTTCACTCTCTTTCCATCGGCATAGAGCAGCAAGGCCATTTGGATATTCGCATTATATTTCTTTTATTCAACGATCATAGGCGCTCAATTCAAAACGAAATTTAAATTTTTAAATTAGGTTTTTTTTAGCCAATTTTATAAATGAGCCATCACAACAAAACACGAACAACAGACAACAAATTCATTCGTATTGGAAACTGAATTAAAACGTGAAAAGAGAAAGACGCACAGTTCAGTTTCACCATTCATATCAAAATTATCACATCACACAAACTATTTGATTGATGCACTACATTTGCCCGAGAAAAAAAAAGCATTATTGAACATTCAATCGAAGCGATATTTTCATTCTAACGAGATAATATACTAACTCAATCGGCTGTGTTTGTTGGTAGCTGCAACGAATCCGGTCAATTTTGTTCCACTTGTTGATTCATTCGAGGTAAGTTGGTGATGATTTCAATTTGGATTTTCTCTGCATTAATTTTTGGACACACTAAATTGTGGCAAATTTTCATGGTTGTCTCTTGCGCATACTACGCATCCGCATACACACACATACACACATACACCACAAATGAATCAACATGGATAATGTGGATGTAGACAAGTGTAAAGATGAAAAAAAAACCTTGTAGTAATATAATGATCAAATGTGAAGCGAAAAATACAACGGCGAACATTCAAAATTCATTCAGCAGTTTCAATCAAGACTTTTCTTCCAGCGGCAAGCGAAACGATTCAGTAGGAAAAAAAGCGAAGTAGATGGTTATAAATTTAATTTTTATTGGGATCGCTCGTTTCAATCTCTTATGATTTTAATATATTTTTTTGTGCTCGCGTCTTGCGCACCAATTTCAAACCATACACAGAGATGCTCGAAAAACTCAACTATGCTCAAATGAAATGGAATGAAATGCTTTCTATTATGTGTGTTTTTTTTCACTTCATTCCATAATCATGTGAAAAGTAAATGGTCGCGGAGTGTAACCGAATGAATGAACAGAAAATGACACAAATATGAATGCTTACAAATGTGTACACAAATGCTTGCACTCGCTACTATTCTTTGTGGCTGTTCACTCCGGTTGGCTATGCCGTTTCGAAAAGTACGGCTGCTCAAGTAGATTAATGCGTTTCGAAGCCACCGAAGCAAAATGCAATACAATAATCGTAACGAAAAAAAACATGTAATTTAGTTTCACTTTTTCGAGCGTAGTTCTAGTTTTTTCTTTAATATATTTTTTTTCTGTACATACCTTGGCTTTTTTCACTTGTACAAAAGGTGATTTTTATCTTAGCCACACTTATACAAGATTCAAGATAGCACATTTATACTGTTGTGTGTGTAAATACCTATAAGGATGATTTTTATTTCGAAAAAGTTAACAAGATTAAATGGTCAAAATTAATTCTGACCGAGTTGTTGTTGTATGATTGCTTGTGCGATTTATGTACGAATTAAACGCAACGGAACAAAGCGTTCGAAGCATTGATCCCGTTTGAAAAGAAAAGAAAAACGTTCGAATTCATATTTCAAGTGTATTTTACACATGTATTCTGTTCACGCTATCAATTAATAAACAAATTTATAGATATAGGGCACATTTTACTAGGCCTATTTCACTTCCAATTGAAAACGAAATGCGTTTGAAACTCATTTCAATCTGCACGGCTAATGAACAAATAAAAACAAAGCATGTATGGAAGCAAAAAATATAAAATGAAAAGAATTCACGCTTAATGAAAACGCGGTCAACTTTTCTACGCCATATCACATTCGAAGACGTGGTATACAAAACTACATCCAATTTGAGCGAAAATAATCATACATTGTAAAGAGTTTTATCAAAAATTCGTAGCGTTAAAAGAGAATACATGAATGGGTGTTTAAGCGCTTCCTGCCTAGCACTCTCTCTCTTTCTCTCTCTCTCTCTCTCTCTCTCTCTCTCTCTCTTCCCTTTTGTCCATGTGTAAAATGTTGTCGGCTAAAGCTCATTTGGTTTACTTAGTGTGATCCGAGTTGATGCGTTCATATCATTAAGCGAAATCCGAAGACATACAAAAGCTTTAATTCGATATTTGAACATTTTACAAATACCTGCCTGTCATCTGACAAATGCCAATGATTTAAGAGAGAAAGAAAAAACTTAAAGGAAACCACAACGCAAGAAAAAAAACTTATCAAACGAAATGCAGCGAGAAAACAAAAGTACCGGCACTTTTGGATCGTTTTGTATCATTTATATTAACTCTCACTCGATTGGTCTATTCGTTTTACGCGCTCATTCATATCTTGATGTAAAACCAACGTAGTGTAGAGCAGCTGCTATTTTCGCATCTTTTTTCTCATCACAGCCCGTGATTAATTCAAGATTAATTCATTCGCACAGTTTCTGCAGGCATTCTTTTTTTGCTTCTCTCCGCGGACGGTTTCGTCTGTACTAAATGTGTTTTACATCATTTATAACGTTTGTGTAATCAATTAATGATTGACGATAGAGCATATTCGAATGAGAGAGAGAGAGTGACAACGAAAGGAAAGATACGTTCGAATTTGTCGCGCACACAAATAATAGGTTTGGCAATCATGTCTTCCCATCAGCGCTGAAGAAATGAATGCAATCAATCACTTTCTTTATCGCGCAAACCGATTATCCAGTGCCCTTTTCCATGGTGTTCGGTGAACGAACGTTTCATAGTGTTAAGAAAAATATATGCCGTTTTGTATGACTTTTTCATTTGATTGTCACTCATTTCATTGATTGTCTACGTGTATGCATACTATCAACGAGCGGAAGAAAAAAAAAGCACACACACAAATCAATCGTCTGCAAATTCCAAATGGGAAAATTTCTCTTCCATTCCACGATTCTACCATTTGAATTCCATGATTGAGCCTGAATGGCGGCTGCTAAATTACAAAGACTCGTCGCAACTATTTTATGCCTTCAACGATCTCAATTTTTTTTGAACATTTCTCGATTGATTTTGATATTTCACTGAATTGCAATCAATTCACCGTGGCTCATGAATGGTAAAGTTCTTCGGGAATGAGGCGAGGAGCATTCACTCGATTATCTTCATTTCAAAACTTGAATGCGATTGCATAAGGCCCACAACCACTGAAGTGGTTCGGCACAATCATCATTCAAATATTTCAAGGATTTGAAATTTTTGATCGCTGAACGCTGAATAACAAGTTCAGTAAATTTAAGGTCGTGCAATAGGTAGTTACAGCAGCAACATTGAAAAAAAATTGAGTGAAATTATAGAAAATCTCTTTCCGGAAGTTTTTTTATTTCTCTTCGCTTCAGATGTAATTGACCATTGATTGATTACTGGGCGGATCTGAGTTTTAGATATTACATTCACAAATGTGTTTGAATACATAAAGCATTTGTGACGAACTGGTTTGTTGATCGTTCGTTCATTTGTTGACTGCCATGAATATTTCGTTATTGATTGTACTTTCTTCTATCCAGTCCATGATTCGTCTTCAAATCCATTCAGAATATTTTCGTGGTGTTGGATCAATTGCAACCTATAAATTGTTCATTTGAAATACTGAACATGTAAAAATTGTCCAAAATTATAGTTATCAAATATTTTGGCTACTTTCACATGATTGCATTTCGATATGATAATAGAAATGATAAATTGGGTATGCTGAGTTCACGCACCACATACACTTTCCTCATTCCATTTTTTAATTAGAGTCTCACAAACCATTAATCAATCACCAATTAACGTTGATACTTCGAACGAACAAGTTGATGTGTTCGGTTGAACAAGACACGCGAATATGCATGACAACGCGAGAACCATTTGTTTCGTTTCGTATTTCTGCCGGTATGTTGTGTCTTCGCTTCGCTTCGCTTCACTTCATACATCGTGACAACCGAAACCAAATATGTACTGTCGAAGTGATTGGCAAGGCACACACCGAAAAAAAAACAACGACAGAATACATCACAATTTTAAATAATGATGATTAAACGATTTGAATCCGATGAGCTGAGAGTGTTGGCTATGATTGTCTCTTGACTCCAACGTTACCCATAATTCGAATTGTGTATGCAGGTTTTGGTTTTTTCTTGTTGTTTTTTCACTTTACCGATTTTCGCGCGGTCATATCATTCAACTAAGCGAATGTGAATGCAGCCAATTAGAAGAAGTAATTGAATCGAATTGCTTTATGTGCTTTCGTTGTCTCATCTTCATTGCAAATCACTGACAATGAATGGATTCACAATGTGAACTGGTGCATTCCACGCGAATAAAGTGATAGAATGAAAGGAAACGGAGAAAAGGAATGAAAACATTTGAAAATTACGTACGTAATTCATTGGCGTTTTTTGAATGATGTTTACTCATACGATTTAACTATAGCTCGTTATCGTTTTTTGCCAAATGGAATTTCGAATTCGGTTTATGCCGCGCGCGCACGCACACACACAGTCAAAGAAATGAATATACATTTATAATCATTTTCGATTCCATTTTCTTCATTATTTTGTTTTTATCATCATCTTTTGTCGAAGTTGTAAACGACCTTTTTTTTCCTTGTGAATAATCATATTCATGTACGTTTGGAATCGTCTGCAGAATTTGCAAAGAGAAAGTTTATGATCGACAGTAACATGAAACAACAACTGCAACTACTGAAACAGTGTTTTTTTTCTGTTTCAAATGTGTAAGCGTCTATTTGTTGTGTTATGTACATGAAACGGTCATATGATGAAAAGAAGCCCGCCAATCGTTGTAAAAAGGAAAAGAAACGGTAAAAGTTAAAGCGAAGAAGAAAAAAAAATGACGGAAGGGGAAATTCGACCATTTGAGCTTATGTTTGAGTAAGCGTGCTATACTTGATTTGCTCTCCTGTTATCATCTGCATCGCCGTCGCTGTAGTCTCGTTGATCAGAGCAGCGAAAAACAGGTGAATAAACTTATCGATCAAGCAGAGAAGTTTCGTGATAAAAGTGATGTCGGTGTATCAAATTTTAAAACTTTTGAAAGTCCACATTATCGTCCACATTGATGTCCATGCTTTCGAGTCGATTTTATGTTTATGCTGGTGTGAAGGTTTTTTTCACAACATCTCTCTACCGAATCGGATTGTTTCTTTCAATAACTGTTGGGCCTACACAGCTTAAAAAGTTCAAACAAAATCAAAATTTTAGTTTGGTCAGTTTGTCTAATCGCACCCGATGTATTTATAAATGCCCACTCCATTGTAAATGTGAAAATTACTGAGATTTTTTCTTGTTTCTTTAAAAGTTATTTTATTCATTCTTGGTATTGCGTGCGTGGATGAAGCATGTGAATTAATGGCTGAAATGAATCGATCAATTAGTTGAATTCAAAATGGAGTACAAAGTATTTCAGTAGGCATTAATGACGTGTTTGTCTCATGACATTCTCACACTTAAAATTTTTCCA